CGGCGAGGCTGACGGGCTTCGTCGGCAATTGGCTGAGCAAGAGAAGTCTCTACAAGAGACGTTGGCGGCGCTGACTGACGCCCAAACGGCCAATGGCAAGTTTCAGGCCGAGCTGGATCGCTGGGGGCGAGTTATTGACGACCTAGCTTTGAAGGTCCAACGTCTTGAGCTGGCTATGAAGAATGAGACAGAGAAGAGTACCATTTTGGCCAAAGAGTTGGACACCGAGAAGCTTGCCTTCGGTGCCTATAGAGAGAAGGCACGCAACAAGGTTCTCTCTCAGCATCAGGCTAGGTTTGCCCAGGCGGCTCGGCAAGCATGCTTCTTCGACAACTTCCCCGCTGAATTTCACCTTGATATGACCAAGGACTTCTTCCAGGGGAAGTTGGTGGACCTGACCTCCATCCCTCCAGATCAACATGCTGACGAGGAGGCTCCAGCACGGCCAGCCGGGCCGAATGAGGAGACGGCGTATGAGGAGGGTGCACCGGAAGATGGTCCGGTTCAGGGGGAACCGGAGGTGGCGTCTTAAGCGTTTTGTTCTTTGTAATGATGGGCCGATAGTGCCCTTTTAATGTACTTTTTTGGGCCAATAGTGCCCTATTAATGAATTCGTATTTCCTTTGCTATCGTATATTGATGTAAAATTATAATTGCTTCTTTCGGGATGAAAACTCGTAAATATTAATGTAAGCCGCATCCTTGGCCGAGAGAGATTTCGGGAGGGAAGACTTGTAAATAATGTAAGCCACATCCTTGGCCGAGAGGGATCTCGGGATGGAAGACTCGTAAAAATTAATGTAAGCCGCATCCTTAGCCGAGAGAGATGTCGGGAGACCTAGAGAAGATGAGTGCTTTCACCATAGTGAAGGGGATAGAGTCTTTGACCAATCGGCTTTCTGTCCTTTCTCTGGTTAATGAGGATAAGGTGCGGGTCCTGGTCCGAGAAGCGAAGCTTCAAGGAAAAAAAATAAGTGGCCTGGAAGAGAGGTTGAACAAAGGGAAAGCTGATCTGGGATGGGTAATCGGGGAGAGAGACAAACTGATAGATAGTCGCCGAGAGTTGGAGGAGGAGAAAAAAGCTTGGTTGGACGAAAAGGCGAAACTCGAGAGAGAGCTTGAAGAGACTCGTCTTGCACGTGATAAGAATGCTGATGCTGCTCGGGCCTTTGAGGCCGATGTGTCTTTGCTTAAGTCTGAAGCTGAGAAGTTGCAGACCGAACTGCAGGCGATCAAAATGGAAGCCTTGCAAAAGTTCACAGCGGGTTTTGACGCAGCCACTTTGCAAGTGAAATTCCTTCATACCGACTTGGATTTGGAGGGCATCGGGTACTTCAAGGAGATTATCAATGGAGAGCTCGTCGACCCCCCAGAAGACGATTGATGTCTATCACTTGCACTTTGTTTTTTTTTGCTTTTGTTTTTTGCATTACCTTTTGGACATGTTTAGCTTTTTTGTTTGTTCTTAATCTTCCGGCTTTGCCAGAATATATTGACTTGTTGACTTATTTGTCCTAAAAAGTTAGCATTTTTGTTTCTAAGCTTGACTTGCGTGTTGTCGTGCAAATACCGAATGTCAGAATATCAAGCAACCTAAAAACTTTTGAGTACCAGAAATTTTTCTAAGTTAAAATTGAACATCAATGAGTCTATTCGTCCAAATACCGAGTAGAAAAACACTAATAATTTTTCCAAGTTAAAATTGGATATCGATGAATATACTCGTCCTGATATCGAGTAGAAAAACACTAATAATTTTTCCAAGTTAAAATCGAACATCAATGAATCTACTCGTCCAAAAACCGAGTAGAAAAACACTAATAATTTTTCCAAGTTAAAATTGGATATCGATGAATATACTCGTCCTGATATCGAGTAGAAAAACACTAATAATTTTTCCAAGTTAAAATCGAACATCAATGAATCTACTCGTCCAAAAACCGAGTAGAAAAACACTAATAATTTTTCCAAGTTAAAATTGGATATCGATGAATATACTCGTCCTGATACCGAGTAGAAAAAACACGAATAATTTTTCCCAGTTAAAATTGAACATCAATGAATCTACTCGTCCAAATACCGAGTAGAAAAACAGTGAAAATCGGACCTCAATGAATATACTCGTCCTAAAACCGAGTAGAAAAAACACGAATAATTTTTCCAAGTTGAAATTAAACATCAATGAATCTACTCGTCCAAAAACCGAGTATAAAAACAAATAATTTTTCCAAGTTAAAATTGAATTTTCCGTCTAATCGCCAAAAAACCGACTAGGAAAGATGCAAATATTTTTTCTAAGTTAAAAATTGAATTGTCCGTCTAATCGCCAAAAAACCGACTAGGAAATGTGAAGTAATCCATCGCAACAAGGAGAAACTTGACCTGCCCCTTTGCCACAGGGAATGGTCCAAGTACGTCAATACCCCACAAGGAGAACGGCCATGGAGAGCTGATACTGTGTAGCTCGGCGGTCCACGCGTGGATGAG